TTACATCAGCTACTTGCCAAAAAAGTCCTGTGAAAATCAGTCCAGCCATTTCATAGATTAGTGGTTTGGTACATTTGTGTATGTACCTTATTTATATTCATATGCTAGTAGTAAAAAATCGGTTATTTGAATATTACAAACAGATACTCCAATAATCCATAATAATTATAAAGAAACACCCAGACAGCGGTTTAAACACCGCCTTACTTCCGATTGTCGCTGGTTCGATTCCTAACACAGTATAAACATTTGTACTAATCATTGTTTGTATTCGACTGGGTGTATACATACATAAATGTAAAAAAAAAAATTTTGTCTATTTATATCAGTTATTTTATACCCATAACTTGTGTTATGGGTATAAAATAACATGTGTTGTTAAATAATCTGGTCCCAAGCTAAGCAAATAGCTTTGCTTAGCTTGGGACCAGATGGCGACGGCGTTGTATGAATTGTTCTCAATAATAATATTTACCGTACTTTTTAGGTCATACAGAAATGTCATTTTGTAAATTACAAATAAACAAAAGCTATTTCCCTTTCATTCTCTAGTTCCTAATCCTGCAAATTCGCGTAGAATCGTCCGGGATTGTTAATTTCATTGGAGTGTTTAAATTTGGCACTTAACAAAAATCAACATTTGTATTGTAAACAAAACCCGAAGGTTGTGTGACGGAGATTTATTTGATTTCGTTTCATCGCACGTTTCTAATTTATTTATTAGGCCAAACGTTAGCTTTGAATGTAATTTTATTCAAAGTTTTATGGAAAATGTCAACGAATTTTTTATGAAACATATCAATCAATACAAATACTATAAATAAGAAGTACGTCTGTCTGTATGTCGGTACTATTTAATGATTCAACACCTACACGGAATATAGTATTATTTGATTATTCTGCAACCATTTTGATTATTCGTCAGACCATTTCGTAAATCGTCCTGGGTAGAAAACATAGATATATTCTTTTATTTCAAAACAATAGACAAAGTCGCTTGTAACAGCTAGTAGTGAAATAAAAATAGAAACAAAAGTAGGTACGTACGCCAATAGGCTAGAGATGCGGATTTAATCTCAACTCAAACTGATCGTAGCTGCAACTCAAACAACTGCGGACGTTGACGATTAAGCCGATGGGGGAACAGTACGGAAAATCTGTTTGCCCATTGATTTACAACTTTTAATAAGTCTCAAATTTATTAATTTTATTAACTAGCTACGGTAACCGTTTACCATCAGATGGACCTTATGCTTGTTTGCCATATACGTGGTATAAAAAAAAATTGTAGGCCTTTAACTTACTCCTGACATCGTCGGCACAAGCTGCCATCTTCTATTTCATCATCACTTTTTATAATATTTTATTTAATTCCGCTAGAGTAAACATGTGTCAGACCACAAATATTCGATATAACTTATGTTATACAACGCTTAGTGTTGTGTTTTTTTTTATGGATGATAATGGAATGGTGCACCCGCCTGCGCTAACGGTTTATGCTGGCGGGGCACCAGTGGAGGATGATAAGATAAATATATCAGATCAGTTAGCCTATCGGGACAAATTTACCAGGAATTTATCACGATGGTTTCTAGGGGTAACCGCGTGGAGGTCAACCTGACATGGTACATTGCTAGCAGATCAGGAGTCCACATTACTAACAATCCCCTTCCCAGTGAGGTGTTAATATTAGGCTTTGGAAGCCTAGTATTAACGCAACACTACTGGAAACTTTTATGAAAATAGGTGTTATTTTGCTGAAAGCTTTGAAAATATAGTATTGACGCAACATTAGATGTATAAGCTGTATCCGAACTCTATTCAATGCCGTTTAATGCTCCGTTCAGAGGCGAAACACGTGTCGCAATATCGGTGTAGAATCAATAACGATCGGAATTTGATCACCATTCCAGAAGATCAGGACGATAGTCAAATTTCCGTACTGAATATTTGTGATCTCACAAATGTTAATTGTTGCGGAATTAATTAAAATAATATATACCCCTTAAGTAGTGCAATGGACTTCCGCAAAATAACACTTAATTTCATAAAAGTTGCCAGTAGAATCTGTTTGATCATAGCGAAGTTCTTATTTTTAACCCTAGACCTATACATATTGTAAATTGTATATATGTATATGCACTACAGACATGATGCATTGTTTGTTTGACGTAGCTATTCGTGAAGTCTAATTTGTCATGCCTCTAGATTCAGTAATATCCTTGGCATATCTAATTCTTTATACCGGAATACATTTTACAAAATAAATTTCTTGGTGCTATAGTCAGACACCTACGCAGTTGACTTTGTATAAAATTTGGCGAAGTAGTGTTAAGTTTTAGTTTTAAATATTCAACAGTTATTTATAAAAACAAGTTCAATCAACCTTCGATCTACAAAAACAAATCGTGCCTAGGTAACCATCGATAAAGTATTGAATATCTTTAAACTTTAGGTTTTGATATCGTCTTCTTTTCAGGATTTGAATATTTTCTCTATAAATAATTCAGGCTTCTTCATAGCCTAATAGGAAATAAAGAGTAGTAAATTCGATGCTAATATTAATTTTGATTGTGGCGTGTTGCTTTGTAAGATATGAATTGTAAAACTAAAACAATACTGAAACTTCTTGAATTAGCTTTATTGAATAAATTATATTTATTTGTAATGGCGTTTTTTAATGTAGAACTGCCGACCCGCCGTTGCGTCGTACTGGTAGTAGAACATTAGATTACACAACCTTCGTCTAGAATTACTCAGTTAATAGATAAAAACTTTATAGAAAACAAGTTAGAAGTTTTTGCAATTATAACAAATAATAGAACAGATGTGGGCGATTTTGTTTTGTAGTATCTACTGATTTTGTCCTTTTATAAAATAAGTCATTTTTTAAGCAATTTATACAGATGGTTATCTACCATTATAAATGCTTGAAGACCTCTTTTAATGAAGATTAATTCTGATAAATCGGACCACTTATTTTCTGGTACTATTAATTGGCGGAATTCGCAGAATGAAAATTTAAACTCTGTTCATGATAATTCAAAGAATTATTTTACTGGCTTTGCGTTAGTGTATTAGTAGTTATTTTTTGATTTCGATCTACTCTAATAATGTTAACTGTAGCTAGGCTTTACAGCTACACCGGACGAAGAAACTTATGGAGGAATATGTAGGACTTATGGAGCGGCTGAAGGCTAAAGTTGGTGTGACGGATACAACTATGTTTGAGGATTCCGCTAGGCTAACCTCGGGTCAGGTTGTCGTAATTTCGATTCCCGCTAGAGTAGTTTGAGGTCTCGATCTAAGAGAGACGTAACCATGTAGGTAATAAGATAAAGCACTAACCACTAGTAATGGTATAATTATAGCCTTCATAGACATTATGTTAGAGTACCTATATACTCCGGAGGTAAACTCAAATGAAAGGGGCCTCGGGGTCCCCCGGGACCGGGATATGGAGACAATACGCTTTCCTGGTATTACGATATGTGATAATAACCGTTTATTTATTCATAACATCTCCATTAAACGTATTCAGATGCACATAAATATTATAGCATATTGCTTTTAACCAACTCTAAAGAGGAGGGTTTTAAGTTTGACTATATTTCTTGTGTATTTTGTAGACTTGCGAATCGGATTTCATTCTCATTTTGGAGTTCAGTTACTGTATTTCAGGTGGGTCATTAACTTGATTGCTGTTTTAGTTATATTATATTTTTTTACTTTTATTTTTATAAATAGATTTTTTTATTTCTTTGAATTTGCTAAAAAAGTATTAAGACAATGACTACAATCAAAAATATAAGTTCATGACCTCTCTTAAAGACAAAGACAGCGCATTCCTGGACATTACCTATTATTTTCGGAATATTTCAAATTTCTAAGACTTCAACCGCTGGGCATTTAAATAAAAATGGCATTAATTTCGCTTCAAAAGCGCTCATAGGAAGATAATGAAATGTCCTCTCGTCTAATTAGTTCATTTAGGGCTTCACCCCTGTCAAAGGGAGCGGTTTGGATAGGTCAATGTTAAGTGGAGAAAAATAATTAAATTATTTTCATTGCAAACGTTCAGGTTAAAACTTTAGAGACATTAATAAAACATATGTTAATATGTGTATTTTAAAAGGACTTGAAATGGCATATAAGCCGACTGTTCACGTGTGGTAATGATTACCGTTGGTGATAAACTTGGAGGTTTAAATTGTAAAACTCGTCTGCGTAACCTATTCAGTCGCCATTCAGTTTTCTTTGGTAAATATGTACCGGTTTAATTAATAATTGCTTCTCACATGGTACATTATAGATATTATTAATAAAAAAAAATAATAAGGACATGTAATACCCCGTAGGGTACAATTTTTTTTTTTTTTGACAATTCACACAGCGCCACTAGACCTAAGTTAAGCTAGTTAAAGCTTGTGTTATGGGTCTAGTACCCATAGATAACTGATACAAATACATAGATTTTTTTTCGTAGATACATACATATAATACATAGAAAACACCCAGACCGACACAAACAATCATACTCATGAATACAAATATTTGCACGTGCGAGGAATCGAACCCGCGACCATCGGACGAAAAGCGGTGTGCTAGACCGCTAGACCACCGAGGTCGGCGAATTATTATATCTGTATATTACATTTAAGGGTAAGATATGGCAATGAAATTACAGACATCTTAGTCTTCTGAAATAGCAACGTATGAATGATACCCAATGATACAGGGGTAATGGTGTCGTAATGCTAGGTAACGTTTACCGTTTACCTGGGCCGTTTAGCTGGGCCGAAGAAAGTTTTTTTAAAGAGAATTTCAGCCACGCCTTTTACTCATGCATTCTGACTGAATATAAATTCCGAAAGAGATGTAAAACAAAAAAAAATATGATAATACGAAAATGTTTACAATAAGTTCCTTTGTATAAAAATTATATTTCTATTTACATTTATCAGCTATGTTACAATTAATATTATTTTCATTACTATTAGACTCCAAAATGATGAGCAAGAGGATCGCTGTTGCCGTTGCCGTCGTCCTGGCTGTAATCTGCCTGGTGGAAGCTAGGGAGGAAGGTCCTCATGACATGGCAGACGCTCTCCGCATGCTGCAGGAGCTGGATCGTCTGTATACTCAAGCTGCCAGACCAAGGTAAGAGTTTAGACCAAACTTAACAAGTTTCTCAACTCGTTTATCAATTTGGTTATTCTATGTGATGGATCTTTTTATTTGTATTAATATTATGAATGCGAATATTTTTATCTGTCTGTTTGTTGCCTTTCACGATATAACTACGGAATATAGACTAATCAAATTTAAAATCCAGTACAGTATACAGATTCAATTGAGAAGAACTGACAAGAACCTTAACTAACGTCTACATTAACAACTTATGTCTAACATTACATACAATTTTAATTAAAAATTTATTCTACTATGACGGAAATAAGCTAACTTTTACAAAAGAAATAAACCTCAAAGTTTATTGAAATAAAGAATCTCACAATCATGAAACTCAAAGTCAAATTTCTTTAAGACCTGTTTATGCCTAGTCTTAAAATGGTAACAAATAGACCGATAGAGATGCTTTTGCAGCTATAATTTTGGTATGGATAAACAATAAGTAATATATAGATACATTTTTAGGAGCAACGCGTCGGCGCGAAAGGAAAGAATTGAATTAAGAACACTAGTCTATATTAGTTGATAGACTATTTTTTTATTGATAATGGAATGGTACACATGTCTGCACTAACGGTTTACGCTGGCGGGGCACCAGTGGAGGACGATAGGATGAGAATGAGGTCAGGTCAGTTAGCGTACCGTGACAAATTCACGAGGACGACATTCTGTTTGACGTTGCTATAAGTGAGAAATAAGGTTTTTTAATGGATGATACCCCCTACTGCGCTAACATATACGCTGGCCGAGCACCAATGGAGGATGATAGGATGAGAATGAGGTCAGCTAAACCAGGAATTTATCACCATGATTTCCAGGGGGAACCGCGTGGAGATCAACCTGACATGGTACATTGCTGACAATAGGTTCATTAGTCCACATTACTAATAATCCACTGTCTCTCCCAAAATTGACAGTCTATTTACGAGCATTATTTAATGGGTAATCATGGAATGGTGCACCTGCCTGCAGTATACGCTGGTGGGGCATCAGTCGAGTATAATAGAATGAGCACGAAGTCAGGTCAGTTAGCTCGTACCGTACCGAATTAACCAGGAAATGACGCGACGGTTTCCAGAAGAAACATCGTGGAGCATAGTAGTGTTTTCATATATATGTAGGTATATACATATGTTTCAAACCAACTATAAATTAACAATGTCCTGTTACTTAAAAAATATACATAGGTAGTAAGCTTTTGATTAAAATAATACAAAAATAACTTATATAGCAAAAAGATTAAATGAACTAAAAAACAAATGAAATTTTGGTTTTTACTCTATTATTCAAATAATAATTTGTTACGTTGATATTTGTATAAAAAAATTTCGGGTAATATCTTTGTACTCTACCTACGCTCAGAATAAACAAAACTTGTAAAATTATACAAATTACAGATTGTATGTAGTTAGAAAGATATTATGAGAGAAACAAACAGAAATTGCTACAATTAAAAATTCATAATTTGAAGTACAATATTAAGTGTAATATCTTATGTTTCGTAAAGTGTTTAACAACAATCATATCATTATTTCTCATAGCTGCCGTTGCTGTACTTTAAATATTTAAAAAAATAAACACTATGTATTTATGAGGTCATGAAAATAAATTTGTATATTTATTAAAGGAAAACTAAGGATGACTATATACATTATTAATAAATTTAAAACAGGCTTTCACAATATATATATATATAATATTGTAAATTTAGCCTATAATACAAAATTATATATATAAAAAAATGACTTATTGTTATTCTGAAGATTATTACCATATGGTAATGATCTTCTAGTAACATTTAGTGTATATAATATTTCAAAAATTCATAAATTGAACTAATGACCTTATTTTTAATTAAGTTATTTTTAACTTAAGTAAGATATTGTTATTCTGAATAAAACGCGTACAGTAGGGATCGATTGCTCTTCTATTTATTTATTGTTACTATGGTACCTATAGTTGATACTTTTTACAAGTACGTTGTATTTATTAATCATCTAGCTGTGGATTGACATTGTAGAAAACACGAAACTTTGTCACTATTTTCGTAATATATTAAAAGTATGTCTCAATTACTGCATTTTAATACAACAGTTACATAATGTGTACTATGTCAATTTCATTCAGCAATGATAAATAGGTTCAACCAACATGACAATGTTCACGTACTTGTATTTATAATGACTAATAATATCTAACATTAAAAGAGTAGAGAACAGATTTTGTTATAAGGATTGTAAAATTAGGAACCGCTTCACCGATTTCAAAAATTCTATCACTAAAATTTATGAGTTCCATTCCAGTGTAACATATGTTAATATATACAAAACTCACAAAGTTATGAACACCCGGGCAAAACCGGGGCTACTAGTTATCAATCGGAAAAGGGGTATCTGAAAAATGTATTCTTTTGACAGATCCCTTCAACATTGGGGCGATTCCAGTCTATTTTCAATATTGTAACGAGTTTTCACAATACCAAATGTATTCATAGGCTTGAGGTACGACAGCAAATTATAAAAAATCCAACTTTCGTTTGTATTCAATATTTCAATTGAAAGAAAATAAAGTAGGTACACATATCGCGATTATTTTGTTGGGAATTAATTTGTGTCCACAAGAAGTGACTTTGCAAATATAATAACAAAGTTTTTCAGAGCTACGTAGCTTAGTGGTTTACACGAAGTTGTAGACTACAGAGGTCGTGAATTCATATCTGCCTCATAGGAATAAACTTATATTATCAATTTATACAATCCGGTGTCTGGTGATGTGATCAATCACCGACAATGAACCAAATTCAAAGTTGTACTCAAAAGCGAAATGTTGAGGAATTTAAGTATTGTGATCACCAACGTAGGTAGTTAATATTTAATGTCACGAAGGTTGATAACAAATTTTGTAAATGAGGCATTGCTGCTTGCACTGCTCTAAGTATTTTGTACTTATGTATATGTAGGTAAAAAGTACGATCTACGTCAGCCATTTTTGAAAGTTTTAAGATCATTCGCTAAGATAGTTTTATATTTTTGAAAAGGGACTGAAAATTAACCCAATAAATAATTTATCGGAAAAATATATTACCAAAGTTACAAAAAAAATTACTAATAAATAATATAATTATATTTAATTTTAGTAAAGTTACATAATTATATTAAGTTTTAAAGTTTACGTAATCTATACAATTTTATTCTGATACGTATATTTAAGATATATTTTATTTTTAATTTAGGTACTTGTTTAAAATGAATTTGATGTAGGTAATATAAAAATGTAGGTGCAAGCAGTGGTTTTTATTAAACAATAACAAACTTATGTATCGTAATAGGTTGATGGGAAATTTTGAAAAAATAATATTTATACGAACTTCGATATTTTGAAAATTTTTACGAATTTATTTGAACTATTTAAGAGTCTTTTCTCACTTTATATTAAATAAATAAAACTCGGGTAAAAAAGATGACACATATCTAAAATATGTCAAATTGCTGAAATAAGGGCACCCTTAACTGAACTACAAATTCAAATTTTTGCTATTAGACGTTTTATGTATAATGGTTGAAATGTTATTGTTACAAAGGAAGATGCATTAGGGGTAGATAAATCATCTGCGGGCTAAGGCACTGGGCATTATCTCCGTTCCATATCAGAGGTTGCTGATGGAGGCACTTTGTTCGACACTGCATCTGTTAGGGTTATGATCGATAAGCTGATCTGCAAGGTTCTCTGCGCTTTGAACGATCTTAGATATTAAACCGGCGAATTTGTTATTGGTGTAATTTTAATACGTAAAGTAAAAATATTGTACCTACTCCTTTAGACTTTCTCTGCGCTTTAACTGTCTTAAAAACTTAGACGAAATTAAAGAAACTATTTTATGTGTTTATGCATTAAATTCATAAATGTCATCATCATCATCATCTTAATCAGCTCAGTCAAGAAATTTAAAACTCAACTGAATTTCTTTTTTTAAAACTATTTTAGTTACATTGTTTAATTATATAGGCGTCTGTCTAACGTTAAATGAAAATCCTGTGCAATTACTACCATGTACTGCCACTGAAGTAATCGTTTAGTAAGTAGGCTTTTGCACAATAAATATGGCTTAATAAGTGTCTTAAATTTATTTAAAGGTAATTATAATTATCCTTTAGTATCTTTATGTATTTTTTTATATCAATTCACACAAGAGACTCATTGACTTCTTGTAAACAATTCTTAGAAACAGCAAGTTTATCTTTATATCTATTATTAGTGTTATGAAGCAATTCTTTAAGCAAGCTATTAAACAAGAACTTCTTACTATCACATAATAACTGGATAGTAAGGATACTCAGTTTGACAATACTTTATTAGACATAGTAATTAAATAATATTGTGGCCGATAGAATGTATGGACTATATGCGTGATATTAATCCAACAATTTATAGAAAATTGTTAAATATGTGCAGAGGATTTGTATATTATAAAATGTAAATTGTTAAAAAAAAAAGGCCAATTTACATTGCAAAAATATTTTTAAATGCTGCATCAATTTTCGCTATAATTGGTTGGTAAAAAGTCAATACTGTACGATGAAGTCATATGTTGAAGCAAAACGAAACGTTAGCGCCATGTATATTTGTCCCAGCGCCATCTAGTTACACTGCTGGTATCATTGTCGGGACATTATTCTCACATCCCAGAAGCTAAATCACAGAATATTCACTGAAATATCCGACACTAGATACAAAGGTTGTAAAAAATGAGTAGTGCTGTAGTATTCTGTAGTCATTTCGGTATAATTTTCCCATAAACAGATATCATGCCATACCATATATGCATACCATCACAATAAATCGTCAGTCCCTATTTATTTAAAAAATACTTAATCACAGTATAAAAAAGTCTGCCGGGTATTCATTAATCTTTGATAAACACTTGAGTTTATAAGAGACAATAATTTAAAAAAGATTTTTCTTTTTCGACT